TGCACTGACTCTAGAATGAATGTTTATAAATTAAGGTTGTTCAAGCTGAGAGGAGAATTGCTATTTATTAATAAGAATCCGCTAAGGGAAAGATGTGCTTGTGGACATTAAATACCAGGGGGCTGTTTCGTACTGCCACTAATAGTTTCGAACAGTCTGGATCAAAGTTTAGTCTTGAAAGAGATAGTTTTTTATGTTAGAAGGAACCACCTCCGGGATTTATAATTGGCTAATTTTCTATATAGAGACATTAATTTGTTAGACTTTTAGGGTCTTTTTTATAAAAAAATTAAAATACAAAAAATTAAAATAATAATTGTAATTTTTTTACTATTACTATTATTTTAATAAAAGGCACTGTAAGGGAAACAGAATTTATTCAATCCAATTATTTCTTTTCTAAAATTATATTTACACTCTTCTTTCTTTTAAATTGAATCTTCAAACTTAAATTTTTACAAAAAAAATAAAATCAATTCTTCTTGACACAATATAAAAAAAACTTAAAATATAATTAAGAAGTATTTAACCTATTGTTAAAAATAAATGAATTCATATTTTACGTATGCGCAATCCCCAAGGAATAAAATTAAGGAAATATGGAATAGGAAAAAACTCACAGGATGAATGCCGTTTTCATGATGTTTTCCATAAGATGATTCTTCACAAGCCAAGTTGAATTAGCTACGTTCCAGGTGGTTTGTTCGCAGTCTCCCAATGGAATGCCTCCTGTCCACCGCCTTTTAGCCTTTCTGCACTTTTGTCTCCCACGAGTTCCAAAGTCAATCACCTCCTTCACGTTCATATCAATTTGTTTGTTACAAATTCTTAAAATTTTTTATGAACTAAAGGTCCATAAACTTGTATAATTCGACTTAAAATGGCCATGACGTTTGTTATGAAGTTTCTATTTTCAGTACTAGATTTATCGACGATTTTTTCACCTACAAACAGTTTTTTAACTATCACTCTCTTCTATCAACTCTATGCAATTTTTATGTTATTGGAGATGAATAATGGAAAGACGCTATGCGTTTTCTATTTTAGAAGGAACCACCTCCGGGACTTCGAGACTTACGATTTACCATTGGCTAATATGCTATATAGAAACATAAATTATTTAAATTTTGTATGGACTGAAGGCCCATAAATTTGTATAATTGGACTTAAAATGGCCATGACGTTTGTTAACTTATGAAGTTTCTGTTTTCAGTACTAGAAGTATCGACCACTTTTTTTTAAACTATCTCTATGCAACTAAATGCATTTTTTAAGTTATTGGAGATAAATGAATGACGCCATGAATTCTGCATTTTAGTAGGAACCACCTCCGGGATTACAATTGGCTAATTTTCTATACAGAAACATTAATTTTGTAAATTTTTTATGGACTATAGGTCGGTCCATAAACTTGTATAATTTGTATGTATATTCTATATAGAGATATTAATTATTTAAATTGTTAATGGCCTAAAGTTCCATAAGCTCGTGTAATTTGACTTAAAATTGCCATGACGTTTGTTACCTCATGAAGTTTCTGGTTTCAGTACTAGAGGTATCGTCGACTTTTTCGTGTACAAACACTTTTTTTATGTATCTATCTTCTATGTAATTATGTGCACTTTTTAGATTAATGGAGATCAATGATCGAAAGACGCCATGAATTCTGAATTTCAGAAGGAACCACCTCCGGGATTTACAATTAGCTAATTTTCTATATAGTGACATTAATTCTTTAAAATGTTTATGGTCTGAAGGTCCATAAACCTGTACAATTGGACTTAAAATGGCCATGACGTTTGTTAACTTATGAAGTTTCTGTTTTCAGTACTAGAACTATCGACCACTTTTTCACTTACGAACCTTTTTAACTATCTCTGTCTTCTATGCAACTCTATGCAATTTTTATGTTATTGGATATAAATGATGGAATGACGCCATGAATTCTGCATTTTAGAAGAACCCACTTTCGGGATTTACAACATATAATTGGCTAATATTCTATATAGAGACATTAATTATATAAATTTTTTATGGACTAAAGTTCCATAAACTTGTATAATTTGACTTAAAATGGCCATGACATTTGTTAACTTATGAAATGTCTGTTTTCAAAACTAGAAGTATCGACCACTTTTTTAAATCTATCTTTGTCTTCTATGCAACTCTATGCAATTTTTATGTTATTGGAGATGAATAATGGAAAGACGCCATGCGTCCTCTATTTTAGAAGGAACCACCTCCGGGATTTACAATTTACAATTGGCCAATTTTCTTTAAAAAAATCGATTATGGTTTTGATTGTTATACCTGGAAAAAAATCTAAAGAAAGCTCATTTAAATATCGCCATTTAGTTTACTATCAATTGGAGGAAAGTATAATCAATTATAAGAAGAAGCTAAATTATTACTTGCCTTAAAAAATTACTCAAATCTAAGAAACATCATCAATTTTTTCCACAATCTTAATTAAACCACATTTGTTTATTAAGTTTTTACTATTTTTCAGTAGTACAGTTCAGAGATTAATGATAAAACATGAAACAATTTTTATTGATTTTTATGTCACCAGAAGATTAATATCCCAGATAAATAATATGATTTAGTAACGATAATTATTTATGCGTTGTGTTGTTATTTTTATTAATAATTAAAAATTTTAGTGACTATTTATGATTTTAAATCATTAATAAACTGCAGAAAAAGCCTGTTTATTAGTTAAAAAATTCTGTAATGTCTTTACAGATGAAATATTGAGAACAACATTGAACTAAAGTGGGGCTATTTTTGGTCTAATTGAGTCCTCACTCTTTGCTTTTATATTATATTAAAAAATTATATTATAAATATTATTTTTTTGAACATAAAGGAACTGTTGCGAAATATTGCAATTTTTTTCTTTTCCCCACCGAGGAACGATAAAATTTATCGCCTGTATTTGCTCAAATTGATAATTTAGCGAAAACGGTACGATTAAACGGATTACCTCCCGTGGTTTTTTTTTCTCGTCTCAATCTTGAGAGGTGTTTAAATATAAAATTTCAACCGGATTCCACTCCAGCCAGGAATGCGGGCCGTGTCCGTTGCACTCGGCCCGTGCCGTATCGGAAAGTCGTAAGTGCATAATCGCCCCCTGTAATCGCTATAATCTCTAGATTTCTTCGTCATCAATCAATAGAGATTGTTTCATTTGTATGTTTGTTTATATGGGCTTAATATGAGCAATTAGGAAAAATCTTAATAAGAATCAAATTTGTTTTATGCACGAGTAAGTCTTTTTTTTAAAATTATATAGATATAGCCACTCAAACTGTTTCTATTTTTTTATTTATGGCATTTCAGATTAAAATTTCTTAATAATCAGTTATTGAATATTTTTTCCCATTATCGACGGGGAAAACTCTGCTTTATTTATTTTATTTATTTTGAAAACCAATATTCATAGGGTGCCCTTTTTTGTTTTATTTAAGTCTAAAATTTCTTGAGATTTGAAGATCCTGAGATCATTTAAAACATGCAAATATCGAATATCTCAAGAATCTTTTCCTTAATAAACATTTAGTTTTTATATGTTCTTGCCTTATGTTTTTTAAAAGAAAAAAGATGACTGTAATTTGGTAGTTTCCGATCATTTCTGTAGGTAAGTCTTCGCTGTTTTGGGCTCTCGGGTCATTTTGGCATTGTCTGTCTCAAAATTCTCAAAAAATTTACGTTTAGATTTGAGAAGAAAAGTAGTAAACATCTACTTGGCAGGATATATTTATAAGTTTTCTTGCAGGTACAAGGGGATGAACGTGGGGGTCACCGATCCGGCAAAAATCCGAGCGTTCTTGCCAATGGGCCCTAGGAGCCGAGAAATTAAAAAAAAAAGTCATTTTTTAAAATATAATTTTGTGCCTTCGTTTGGCATTATTAAGGTTATTATGTATCAATAGATTTTTATTCTATCTTGAATGAATAAATTGAATAAAGTGAATAAATTATATTAAACGTATAAAAAGGTACAACAATCAAAACACTCTCCGAGCAAAGAAGGCCCAAAAAAATATTTTTGAAAAAAACATTTGTAGTCGTGTTAATTTCCCTTTAAAATCATTAATTACGAATTATCATTTCAAAAAATACCTATTTCGGTTATATTAGCGTAGGGGAAATTTTTTTTCTCCGATGTTCGGTTTCCATTTAAAAATTCAAAAAACTTGTCTGTAATGTGTCCAAATTCGACATTATGACAACGCTTTTTATCTAAGGTCTCGGTGTGCTGATGTATTTATACAATTTTAATTTTTTTTTTAAATTTTGTATGCCTATTTACACTAGCCTGTCGCCTTTTAGAAAAAATTTCTTTAAAAATAGAAAAATCTAAAAATTACCAGTTACAAAATTTTATAACTATTCAGAAATCGTGAGATGCGGTCTGGTGTGATGTAGGTCTCAGAAAAACATTTTCTTTATCGTGCCTACGTTTCGATCTTTATTGAGATCATCTTCAGGTGCCCACTCTCAACACGACACGCAAGAATGGCACAATTACACAGAAGACAAACACTGAGCTCTGAAGATGATCTCAATAAAATTCGAAACGTTGAGACGATAAAGAAAATGTTTTTCTGAAACTTACATCACACCAGACCGCATCTTACGATTTCTGAATAAATATCGATTAACGGCCACTAATCACCACACAAAATTTTATAACCTTTTTGATATTTTATGGCCCACAGATTTTTGTTAGTTGAATTTTCATATTAACAGTATTGCCTCTAATTTATTTTTACTTCTCTCGATAAACGAGTTTTTATCTTCGAATAAAAAAGAAAGTTATTAGTAAATTATATTTGGATCTGAGATATTCTATAATAAATTAATTAAATTTTTGTAAAATATCATTGGGATGAATTGTCACAGGTGGTTAGAAATGAAACGCTTGAAAATAAAATTCAGGGTTTTTCGATTGTGTTTATTTATAGTAGTAAATCTTGTAGTTTATGTTATATATATATAATTTAACAGATATACACATGCTTATAATTAATATGTATACCATCGTTTAAAATTTTTTTTTCTCAACCACATCTGGTAAATATACCAATTTACAAATAAAGGGTAACAAGAACGAACATTTTAACACCCGGGGAATAGTTGAAAAAGATTATTACTGCAATAGGCTGTGGCCCTAACTGGCAATCGTTCGTTGTGTAATCAGAGCGGATTATGATATTTTATAATTAATAAATATATCGTTAATAAATAGTTATTAGACTAGCATGTAAAGGGATATTAAAATTTCGTCCTTTTTCTTTAGTGAAAATACACTCTTTTACAACTGAAAAACACTCCAGGCTGTACACAATTTTCACGATATACATAATCTCTTTTTTTTATACATATACAAAAAAAATTCCATCGTTTAGTCCTAAACATTTTCCCCTTATCACACACGAGGAGTACAGCGACTATGACCATGTACAAATCCACAAAGGGAATATTTATATATTTTTTTGATTAATTAAACTTATTTTTTTAATAATACATAATAATTTGTGAGGGGATACGACTAGTTTTGTTTATTAATGTTTATTTACCAAGGGTTTTATTGCACTATATATAAATTCTTGTGAGACGTTGCCAGCGTGTACATTATCTATACAATTACCACTGGGCTACACTGTATATACAACAGTCTCGTGCCCCTTTACAACAAGGGCGATTAAATATATACAAAGGTCGCTACCAACTATAGATAAAAGTGATACAGACTACTGTACAAAAAAGTGTGTACCGGAGAAGCGGGTTATTGCTTTATATATTTAAAGAAATATATGTATAAATATATATACATATTTGAAAGGGCATGCTGACAAATGGGTTTGACAAACTAGGGGGTGAATTCGTTGGGCCGCTTCTCCTGAATGAGTTGTTCGACGGAATATGGTCAGAGCGGAGGCGCGTACTGGCAAGCTGATAATGGCTGTGGAGTCGGAGGGCAGTGCTGTTTCGCCTTGAGCCTGAGGGAGGCTAAAGAGGACGACATGCACGGCTCGGGTGGCCGGGGGTGGTACATGTACCCTGGGGTACCGCCGTAGCACGGCGAGGTGACCGGAGGACTGGGCATCCCCTGACCGCTGGCCGTCGAAGGGTTGAAGCAGCCGCTCTGGTGGTGGTTTATAGACGTCAACGGGTTTACAGTCCAGGGGAACGTCTTGGAACCGAGCGGTGACGGCACTTTCGAGGCCCAGTTGTTATACGAGTAAGAAGTATAAAGGGAGTCAGTATCCGTGAACGGCTGCATCAGACCATGTCCGAATCCTGACTTGAAATCCGCAGCTGCAGCCGCAGCAGCGTTCATAGCGTTTCTCTCGCGCTTCCGCCACTTCGCTCTTCGGTTTTTAAACCAAACCTGGAACAAAAAGCAGTCCTAAATTACAAACGTTTATATCAAATCTTATTGCATTCACAATTAATCCGAAAGCATATTCTCAAACAAAAGAACAGTATGCATTTCCTGTGAAATATAGAAAATAGTAGTGGTCCTTTAATCAAAACCATTTTTTTAAAGAAAAAATTACGGTTTTTATGAAATCAAGAGCACCCATGAATCAACCAAGAAGAAACTATCGATCTTTGCAAAGGAGGTGATGCAAAAAGATATCTTCGAAAACGCCTTTTGTAAATATTTTATAACTCTTTTTTCAAAGGTTGGGACGATCGGTCTGACAGATGTGGAAAATAAAAGAAAAACTACTTTTTAAGTATGCCGACGTTTCGCCAAATTGATTGACATCTTCAAGGCGGGTACTAATTAAGATTTTCAGACAAGTGTACAAAGATATATTTGAAGGTTGAAACATGTTTTGCCTTAAATCGCTGTATTTGTTTACACTTTTTTTTTTACTTGCAGCAATTAAGAAATACAGCGGGTTTGGCAAAACATGTTTCAACCTTGAAATATAACTTTGTAAACTTGACTGAAAATCTCAATTAGTAACTGCCTTGAGGACGTCAGTAAGTATGCAGATATTTCGCCAAATTTATTGACATCCTCAAGGCTACTACTTGAGGTTTTCAGTCAAGTTTACAAAGTTATATTTGAAGGTTGAAACGATGTTTTCTTATATTTCGATCTCAACTGTTTAACTTATGAGTTTTCCTTCTCGATGGTGGGATAATAGATCATCTCAAAAAAACAACAACCAGTTTTTCTTGTTGTGGATTGAAAGAATAACTGGTTGTTGTTTTTTTGAGATGACCTATTATCCCACCTTCGTGAAGGTTGAGACATGTTTTGCCTTAAATAGCTGTATTTTTTAAACTCTTTTTTTACTTGCAGCAATTAAGAAATACAGCGGGTTTGGCAAAACATGTTTCAACCTTGAAATATAACTTTGTAAACTTGACAGAAAATCTCAATTAGTAACTGCCTTGAGGACGTCAGTAAGTATGCCGATATTTCGCCAAATTTATTGACATCCTCAAGGCTACTACTTGAGATTTTCAGTCAAGTTTACAAAGTTATATTTGAAGGTTGAAACATGTTTGCCATAACTCTTTTATTTTAATTTGTAGTACATTACAATTACCTTCAAGTAGGTAAGAAGTAACAATGAGCAAGGTAATATATACAAAATTAAAAACAAGAGTGGAAAAAATACCCATCATTATTACTCCAATGTAAAAAATATTGTCTGTTTAATTGATACTTGTGTCAGTATCACTTTCACTATCATCTCCATCACTTCCTAAATCTCGCGATCATTGTCTCTTCAGTCGGCGAGGGGATTCGTCGGGATGCGAGGTTTCTGATATGTTGATTTACGGTAGTTGGGATGTTTTTATGAAATTTGAGATATCGAGAACGGATTTCACCTTGTAAGAAAGGGATTTGTAAGTCTGTATGTGTAGTTAGGTTCGATACATAAAATGAAGCATGTAGTATTTTTCGTAGGATTAAGGACTGGGCAGTTTGAATGCGACAGATGAAGCAGAGCCCGTAATGTCATAATCATAAATTGAAATCCAATCTGCTGGTTACATGTACAGTTGTAGATAAAAATAAATGAAGTAAAAAAAAGAAATAATACGTATGCCGACGTTTCGTCAAATTTATTGACATCCTCAAGGCGGGTACTAATTAAGATTTTCAGTCAAGTTTACAAAGATATATTTGAAGGTTGAAACATGTTTTGCCTTAAATCGCTGTTTTTTTTAACCTTTGTTTTACTTACAGAAAATACGAAATTCAATGGGCTATGGCTAAACACATTTAACCTTTAAATATATACTTTGTAAACCTGACTGAAAATCTCAATTAGTACCTTGAGGATGTCAATAAATTTGGCGAAACGTCGGCATAATTACTGACGTCCTGAAGGCAGTTATTAATTGAGATTTTCAGTCAAGGCCGGGACTAATTGAGATTTTTAGTCAAGTTTACAAAATAATGTTTGAAGTTTGAAACATGTTTTGCCTTAACTCGCTGAATTTTTTTAACTGCCATAACTCGCCGTATTATTATTTTTTTACTTTTTTTCTTACCTACAGAAAATACGAAATTCAACGGGTTTTGGCTAAACACATTTCACCTTTTTTGTAAACTTGACTGAAAATCTCAATTAGTAGGTGCCTTGAGATTTTCAGTCAAGTTTACAAAGTTATATTTGAAGATTGAAACATGTTTTGCCAAACCCGCTGTATTTCTTATTTCCTGCAAGTCAAAAAAATGAGTTAAAAAATACAGTGATTTAAGGCAAAACATGTTTCAACCTTCAAATATAACTGTAAGCTTGACTGAAAACCTCAATTAATAGGTGCCTTGAGGATGTCAATAATTTTGCCAACGTTTCATCAAATTTATTGACATCCTCAAGGCGGGTACTAATTAAGATTTTCAGTCAAGTTTACAAAGATATATTTGAAGATTGAAACATGTTTTGCCATAATTCGCCGTATTATTATTTTTTTACTTTTCTTCTTACCTACAGAAAATACTAAATTCAACGGGTTATGGGTTAACACATTTCACCTTTAAATATAACTTTGTAAACTTGACTGAAAATCTAAATTAGTACCCACCTTGAGGATGTCAATAAGTATTTCGACGTTTCGTCAAATTTATTGACATCTTCAAGGCGGATACTAATTGAGATTTCCAGTCAAGTTTACAAAATTATATTTGAAGGTTGAAACGATGTTTTCTTATATTTCGATCTCAACAGTTTAACTTGTGATTTTTCCTTCTCGAAGGTGGGATAATAGGTCATCTCAAAACAACAACAACCAGTTTTTCTTTTTGTGGATTGAAAGAAAAACTGGTTGTTGTTTTTTTGAGATGACCTATTATCCCACCTTCGTGAAGGTTGAGACATGTTTTGCCTTAAATAGCTGTATTTTTTAACTAATTTTTATGACTTGCAGAAAATACGAAATACAGCGGGTTAGGGCAAAACATGTTTTAACCTTCAAATATAATTTTGTAAACGTGACTGAAAATCTAAATTAGTAGGTGCTTTGAGGATGTCAATAATTTTGCCAACGTTTCGTCAAATTTATTGACATCCTCAAGGTGGGTACTAATTGAGATTTTCAGTCAAGTTTACAAAGTTATATTTGACGGTTGAAACATGTTTTGCCTTAAATAGCTGTATTTTTTAACTTTTTTTTTACATACAGAAAATACGAAATACAGCGGGTTAGGGCAAAACATGTTTTAATCTTCAAATATAATTTTGTAAACGTGACAGAAAATCTCAATTAGTAGGTGCTTTGAGGACGTCAATAATTTTTCCAACGTTTCGACAAATTTATTGACATCCTCAAAACCGGTACTAATTGAGATTTTCAGTCAAGTTTACAAAGTTATATTTCAAGCATTTATGTTTAGTGGTCTAACAGACCAAATTACTTACTTCAATAAAACCAAGACCTTACATTAAAAGAATAATTTATTTATATTTTAAGGTTGAGACATGTTTTGCCATAACTTGCGGTATTTTTTTACTCTTTTTTTTACTTACAGAAAACTGTTGCTTACTGCTGAATAATAAAATCAATTTAAAAAATAGGTACAGATAAATGCTGAAATGTAAAACATTAACACAGCGGGCCGATTTAGCTTTTGTAGTCTAATGGTAGCTATCAGATTTATCTGTCGGCCATAACGGCGAGATGGTGGCGGTGGCTATCGTTCAGCCCCCTTTCAACGGCGCTATCTTATCAACGCGGTACCCTGTATAGTTCCGCCCCCGAATACTCCCACCCGTAGGTCTCGCTCTGCCCTTGGCCATGTTTAATCCCTATCTGCCGGCGGGCAGCCGTAAATTTGAGCATTCCCGGAAATAAAGCTGGACTTTTTTTGTCCCGGGCTATTTTGGCCCTCTACGCGGAACAGGGTGATAACTAGCCTACAAAATCAAATTATGAGGAATTTTTAACTTTTTTAAGTATCCAATCTCTAAAAATAAATCCATGTACAACCTTCAAAAATTCTACATTTTATTAGGTTTCGTGGTCCGTTTGACCAAATAAATTCTTTTCAATAAATTAAGGTTTGGGTTGAGATAAAAAAAGTCAGTGTCACAAGTGGCATTCGAACCCACGACCTTCGGCTAAATACGCCGCTGCTCTACCACTTGAGCTATCGTGACATCGATCCAGGGTTCGAATCCCGCTTGTGACACTGACTTTTTTATCTCAACCCAAACCTTAATTAATTGAAAATTACTTCAATAATATTTTCAGCTATATATTAGCGATAACTAAAAACCAACAATCTAGAAAACAATATACCTATAGTTTTGTCTTTCCAATCATGGTCATCTTGCTGTTTAATCTGTCGGGCAGATATCGGCTTCTCACCATCTTCAGTGATGGATCTGTGTGTTTACTTAGTTTACGAAAAAATAAAAGTTTTTTGATTGAAAACGTCCTTTATTCAGAGTTGTCCATTTCAGGCTCCAAAAAGAAGTATTTTATTAACGTATTTGATTTTGTACCGAATTTTCTTTTTTATTAATAAATTTCTTTGTATAAATTCTATTTTTTAAAGCGATAGATTAAGAAACTTCATGGTCCATAATGGGGAGGAGGTGCCCGAGTGGATCGAAGTCACGATAGCTCAAGTGGTTGGTTAGAGAAGCGGCGTATTGAGCCGAAGGTCGTGGGTTCGAATCCCGCTCATGACACTAACTTTTTCATCTCAACCCTTACATAAAAAGAATAATTAATTGAAAGAAGCACGTTTTTTCCAATCATGGCTTGCTGTTTTAATTTGTCAGGCACATATCGGCTTCTCGCCCTCTTCAGTGATGCATCTGTGTGTTTACTTAGCTTACGAAAAAATAAAAGTGATTCTACTAAATAAAAACACACAATGCCAGTAAAGAAAGACCAAATTGATCGGCA